CAGATGGGACCCCAAGCAGGAGACAAGACCAGGCCGGGGGGTCCCCTCTTCATCATCCTCTTCCTCCGGCGCCCCGTGCTCCTTCCGCTCGGCGTGCATGCTGCATTCATCCCATCGCACCCCCTCCCTCCCTCCTCCCCTCCCTGCCCCTGCCCCTGCAGAGTATAACGATGGGTTGTGCCATCTGCTAACCCGCGCGTGCCCCGCTATGAAGCCCCAGACCCTGGGATTAGCTAAGGACGCCTGGGAGATAGTGCGGGAATCCATCAACCTCGACAAGAAACTCGGCATGGGATGTTTCGGAGACGTGTGGATGGGTAAGGCTGGCCCAGCCGGCCGGGGCGGGGGGCGCGGGGGGCAGGAGCAGTCCGGTCCTGCCCTGGCAGGCAGCATCGCGGGGTGCCAGGCGGTACCCACTGCTGTGGGGGAGATGGCAGCTCGGCACAGGCTCCCCCGTGGAGGGATGGGGAATGGGGTAAGGTTGGCGTTAGGAGATGAGCTCATGGGTGCCTCGTCCCCACACCACGGGGCGAGAGGAACTCCTTGTCCTGGGTGGGGTATGGTGGTATCATGCCCCTTCCTTGCCCTGCCCTGATTTCCTTGCTCCTCCATCCATGCGTGCATGCATCCATCCATCCATCCATGCAAGCATGCACCCATGCATCCCTCCCTCTCCATGCAAGCATGCGCCCATGCATCCCTCCATCAATGCACCCCTCCATCCACGCACCCCCCCATCCACGCACCCCTCCATCCCGGCCCTGCCGAGGCCGGCTGTCCCATGGGCTGGTTGTGACCCTGTCTCCCCGGCCCAGGCACGTGGAACGGCACCACAAAGGTGGCGGTGAAGACGCTGAAGCCGGGCACCATGTCACCCGAGGCCTTCCTGGAGGAGGCTCAGATCATGAAGCGGCTGCGTCACGACAAGCTGGTGCAGCTCTACGCCGTGGTGTCGGAGGAGCCCATCTACATCGTCACCGAGTTCATGAGCCAGGGTGAGCAGGGGGCAATGCCCGGGGGATCCCCCAGCTTTTCTTCCTCCAGCTCTTCTGCAAGCCTCACCCTGCCTGGGCAACGGCCGGGGTGGGCAGAGACCTGGTCCCAGGGCTGGGGGCTTGCAGGGGAGGGCACCCTTGGGTGGGCACGGCTGGTTCTCGGGCGCTTTGACTGGGACCTTCTGCCCGCAGGCAGCTTGCTGGATTTCCTAAAGGACGGGGACGGCCGCTACCTGAAGCTGCCCCAGCTGGTGGACATGGCTGCAATCCCCTAAAGGCCGGGCCCGGCCGCTACCTGAAGCTGCCCCAGCTGGTGGTGCCCAGGTACCGAGGAGGCTGGCACGGGGCGAGGGGGTGCCCCCCAGGGCCCAGGGCAGATCGCGGCGGGCATGGCCTACATCGAGCGGATGAACTACATCCACCGGGACCTCCGTGCTGCCAACATCCTGGTGGGAGACAACCTGGTGTGCAAGATTGCTGACTTCGGCCTCGCTCGCCTCATTGAAGACAATGAGTACACGGCGCGCCAGGGTGAGCTGGCTTGGTGCCCCGCTGCTGTGGGGGACCGCTGCCCTGTCCCCCCTGTGCTGCGTCCCACCCTGGGCCTGGAGCTGGTCACCCCCAATGCTGGGTGTCCTGGGTGATGGGTGCCCCAGATGATGGGTACCCTGGGTGATGGATACCCCGGATGATGGGTACCCCAGGTGATGGGTACCCCGGGTGATGGGTGTCCCAGGGGATGGGTGCCCCAGATGATGGGTACCCCCGGTGCACGGTGCCCCCAGCGCAGGGTGCCTTGGGTGCTGGATGCCCCATGTGTGGGGTACCCCAGGCAGAGGGTGCCTTGGGTGCTGGGTGCTCCCGGCGCATGGTGTCCCGGTGGAGGATCCTCCCAGTGCAGGGTACCCTGGGTGCAGGACGCCCTCAGCACAGGGTGCTTCAGGTGCAGGGTGCCTCTGGTGCAAGATGCCCCAGGTGCAGGGTGTCCCCAGTGTTGGGTGCCCCAGGTGTGGGGTACCCCGGGTGCGGGTGCAGCGGGGTGCCCCGGCCATGGCTCACCTGCCTCCCCTTGCAGGTGCCAAGTTCCCCATCAAGTGGACGGCCCCGGAGGCCGCGCTCTTTGGGAAGTTCACCATCAAGTCGGACGTCTGGTCCTTCGGCATCCTCCTGACCGAGCTGGTGACCAAAGGCCGGGTGCCCTACCCAGGTACGGCCCCACCGGGGCAGTGGGCACCCTTGGGGCGGGCTGGGCAGCGGGGTGCAGACAGGGCAGGGCAGGGGCTGACCCTCCCCAGCACTGCCTCCAGGAAGGCTTGCCCTGTGCCTCAGTTTCCCCATCAGAGAGACCAGCGCTAAGCTGGGCTCCCTGGCCAAACCGAACGCTGCATCCCTCAGCGTGCCTCAGTTTCCCCACCGGCTTGTCCCGTGGGGGTGCTGGTTGCTGAGGGGGAGCTCCTTGTCACGCAGGGATGAACAACCGGGAGGTGCTGGAGCAGGTAGAGCGGGGATACCGCATGCAGTGCCCGGGCAACTGCCCCCCCTCCCTGCACGAGGTGATGGTGCAGTGCTGGAAGCGGGAGCCCGAGGAGCGACCCACCTTCGAGTACCTCCAGTCGTTCCTCGAGGACTACTTCACCGCCACCGAGCCCCAGTACAAGAC